CAGTTGATTGAATAAAAGCAAGCATCTAAGTTTCAGTCTCCTGTCTTTAATTATTTTGTTTGTGGCAGTCATCACATATTCTTTACCTGCTTCTATATATTAATGATAATGAAATGTTTGAATATTTAAAATTTCAGAATAATAACTTCAGTTCATCTGTTGTTTTGTGGTAGTTGAACAATAAAAAATATCTTTATGTACTTTCACAGCCCTGGGATTGAGGAAAGTGAAACCGATAGGAAAACATATAGGAATTTTGGCAATATTGTCGTCATCTTTATAACATTGATGCAACCAATTAAGGAATTGGGTAGTATCTTTAATCTATCAAAGTTAAAGACATTACGACCTGGAACAGATCATTCATCTCTGACGCTATGTTGCATGACAATAAATCTGCAGGGTTTAAGAAAACTTGCTAAGCCCGGTGGTCAGGGCATTGAGGCGGCCCACCGGTGGTCAACCGTGTTTTTGTATTAAAAGATGTTAAGTTGACAGGAAATGTAAAAGTATTACTGTTTAATTATATGTTACCGGAAAAGATCTCCAGTGAAATGCTATTTAAACCCACAACTAGTATTAAAACAACAAATTTGCACTTCTGTTTAATCCAAATTAAGTCAGAGGCTCCATCAGGCCCCCAAGAGCTTCAGGGGCCCCATAAATGCTAATATATTAAAACAGACCACAGATACAAATGTAATACTTGTTTATTGAGATTATCAATGTTGTTAAATTTTATTCAATTGTTTAGGCATACATAAATTAAATGATTTTAAATTGTTTAACATTTAAATACAAGATTTTAAGGAGCTGGCAAGTTTACTTTGTAAAACTTCAAACAATATTCATAGTTAGATTGTTTTGTTACCATAGCAACAATCTAATGCTGTGAGTTTAATCTTTGAATTTACAAATCCAAATTAGTAAACTGCGATTATAACTTATTGCTTTTTAGGCTGGCCAGTTAAACTACTCTCTTCTCCCATATTTCACTAAATCTAACACAGAAGCTGTTAGAGGTGCTGTTAGCTGTCAGCAACAAAAGGGGCTCCTAAATCAAATTCTGCTCAAGGCCTCATGCAGCCTTGGACCGGCCCTGCATGATGAGGTATCTGCTGCACTACGTAGAGATGCGCAACAAACAGGAGATTTAATTCAATGCTGCTAATGTGGCTTTAGTAGCTCTTCCATTTCGTGTCTGTTGACTTTTTAATCGTCACAGAAACTATTCTGGTTGGTCGAGTTTATGTGACTCGACCGTGTCTGACGGTCACGAGTTTCTCAGATCTCCGTGCGGCCACGCGTATTAACTCTAAGTAGACAACGCATTTGATATGGTTTGATGCATCGTGTAACAGGAAAAATAATAATAAAAATAATAATAAAATAATATAAAATCAGCGTGATGCGTGACTCCGAGGAGAGCATTAATGCTCCTCATCAGGCTGAACCTGCATGATCAGGTTAGCGCTGCTCGTTATCCACAAACTCTCCGGCCAACCGGGACCACAGACATAAACTTTACAGGGAAGACAGACACAGAGCCACAGCTGGGCAGCATGTTGAGATGTAAACGCCGCATATAATTGTTCGTTCACAAAGATAAATCATTCTCAACGCTCCACAACGCGCCTCTGAATTCGCTACAAGTTATTCCTGCGGTTCACATTGAGATACGCAACCAGAGCTAACGCGGCGGGTTTTAAACTCTTACCTAGAGTTCTCCAAAGGATCATAATTCCTCACAGTAGGTTTATGTAAATATCCGTACAGGTCAGCCTGTGTCCAGTTTGAGTGAAAGGAGGCGGCAGCGAGCGATCCCGCTGAGGTAAAGCAGCGGCAGCGCGCGAGGCAAAGCGCAGAGGCAAAGCGGTGTGATTGGTTCACGAG